GAAAGTCCGCGCCTGTCAGGACCAAGGCACGATGTCTGTTAGGACGGTGAGTACGTGGCCCGCGGTATGCACACACAAATGACACTGGCGAAAAAAATATGTTACGTTTGAATGGATCTGTAAGTGGCTAAGCAGGCAAAAGAAGCGATTGAAAGCAAGTGACCATTACTCTGCTGTTTATGACACCGGTCACTTCTGACAACGCTATTTTCATATTCTTCCGAGGATATCCACTTCTAAGCAATATGTAATGCCGCCCACGCACCTACCCTTGGACAAGTTGACTTCCTTCCAGTCAAAGTCGAATGCACGCCTCCTGCCGAGCCACCTCGGCGCCGCGGACTCCGAGTCTCGAGTTCTAGCGAGTCAGCGAGCCTTGTCCTCGAGTCCCCAGTCTAAATTTCTTCTCTTTTCTGAATACTGTCTGATTCTGTCGGCTTCCCTACTACTCGGGTCCAAACCGAACCGAACGTCCCTCTTCACTCCTCCGGAATGTCCCAGCACCAGCCATGTCGGCCTTTCTTATAACTTGATTCAGTTCAGTGCAAACAAATGATATTCGTCAACTGGCGGCCAGCTACTCGATCAGACGCAAGAGGTGTTGCGGCACAAACGTCACCAGTCGTGGCACAAACGCCGCCAGAGGCGCATGTCAATATCGAGCGGTTTGTGTAGTCAGCAGATGTGGTCCTAGAGTAAACTCGGCGAGCTTTGCACCGTTTCATGTAGGCCAAGTCGTGAAGGCGTCTGTTGATCCAATTGTTTGACGACTGGCGGGGAGCGCCGCATCGGCGATGGGCAATATGTCAGGCGAAAATGGCAATGCCGTCGTGACAAAAAGAGAGCCTTCGTGCAAACGGAGCTTTTACACCAATTGGTTGAGGAGCTGGAAATAAGTGAACGGCTACCAGAAAATGTCACAGCCAGTTCGACCAGCTATTGAATATTCCGAAACACCAATTCTACCACATTTTATTGCAAAACGTTAAAAAGTTCAATTTGTTAGTACTCATCGTCAGAGCAGTACCTAATAGCACCCGGCGCGAGGAAGGCTGCGGGATCACGTAACGAACGAGTACGTAAGTACCTAAGCCAATATTTCTTTGGTACGAATGAAATAACAATTTAACCCGCCCCCTGGTGGTGGGGGGGGGGCTATTTTTTGCCCCCCCCCCCTCCAGACTTTTCGATATATCTCCAGAACCGCTGCGCCGATCGTCACCAAACTTTCAGTACCCTACCGGACATCAATTTTACACATTGTGACCAAATATTTTTCCAAAGGCTATGATAGGTTGGCCGGAAATGACGTCAGAGTGACGTCATGTTCTGCCGTTTCGACCCAAAAAAGGGTTTCGCGGGAAGAGCTGTCAGGCCTATAGCTTTGCAAATACAGAAAAACGATAAAGACATAAAAGCTGTAGAATTGACAGGGCTACATAACTATCATCTCGAATTTTTGACATTTTTGGATTTTGACCCAAAAAAAAAAATAAAAAATAGATTTTTTGAGTATAATAGCCGAAAAATCCAAAAAGTTTTTTGAATTTCGCAAAAACCGGAAAATATGTGATAGTTCTTACCGCCTTCTATCTACATACCAAATTTGAGACTGATATCTCTTTTTTCGGCGAAGTTATAGCGAAAAAACTGTTCAAAATTGATGACGTCAAATTTTCAAACTCGATTTTTTACAATTCTAGAGCCCGTAGCGCAAAACAAAGACCACCATTAGACTCCCCGTGACGAGCTGCATCGAATCAATACCCATTTTATGCAAAACTATCAACTTTAAAATTTGACCTTTTTTACCTGACCTTGACCTGACCTTCACCAGAAAGTGACCTAAGCCGTACCTGATAGTCTTATAACCAACACCATTGAGTTGGAAATGAAAAATTGGCCATAAAACATGCATCGCACAACCTTAGTACCTGAAGTTAGGTTCATGTGACCTGACCTGTGACCCTTGGTGACCTGATCTGTGACCTGACCTGGTATTGTCAGTGACCTCTTATAGCAACACGTTAGGCGGCACGGGCGGACATCGATAGCAGCGCCTCTATCGGTCACTAGGGAAAGCTGGGCTGTAGGCGACGAAATACCGGCTGAGTTGTCACGCGTTGAATAGGTTTATAGACATCCGTCTTGTGAAAAAGTTGAACTTTTGCCTTCAATATTTCTACAGGCAATTTTAGAAGTGTCTTCACATAGATTACAACACCGTTAAGATTATTGTATTCACTTCAAGCCTTCCCTATTGTTCTTGATGATGCGGGAACTATTTCTAATTAGTGTTTCTATTTTAAAAAAGAACATATTGTGCAAACGATGAAAAAAACATAGATGGAAGATTTTAAATGCAATTTTCTCTAGCAATTAATGGTAAATTATCTACGGATCAAGGAAAAGATGCATGCTAACTGATAATTTAAAGTTCTTGGGGCCAGTTGTTTTCTTCTTTTCTTACGTCGCCCCAATGACCGCGAATACACTTGTGATAACGCCTATCGATATGTACTAGGCAACTGACGCCCTATCGCTGATTCTCGACAAAATGCGTTTTCTTCGGTGTGATAGCGCATTCCCTAGAAGACCCGTGAACGGTGAAACATTTCATCTTTGACCTGACCTGTGACGTCATCGGTGACCCCGAGGTCAATGAAATTTAGTTTCCCTGGACAAATTTGACAGGCCTTTCGAGCGCCGTTTGAATTTTGCGGATCCGTCCAGTAGTTTCGGAGATACGAGGGGGGGGGGGAAATAGCCCCCCCCCACCAGGTCGCGTTATAAACAGACCCCACTAGGGCGCGGGTTAAAACACTAACCAAAATTATCAGCTGCCACAACCAGCATCGAGCCAGTAACGTTCATTTTAATGATGGCTGAGCCTGCCGTCGCTCTGTCCGAGTCTTGGCATCATCTCTGCAACAGTTGTAGTTACAGCGGCGGCAGAGTGACCAGATCAGTCCTGCTCCGACGTCAGTTGCCGTCCAAATCACTGCGGTCGTCGACGCTAAAGCCGGCTCATCTGCATATGAAGCTGGGAGCTGGAGACGGAGGGACTGGGAGGCAGCACTGGGAGGGAGCGGGGGATCCGCGCCGGCTGAGGCGCGCTAATCACTCTAACCAGACGCTGAGCCTCATTAATACCGCAGCTCGCGCCGCCCAGCAGGCGCTGACGCTTGTTGAACACAGAGGGTGCAAGCCCCCGCCGCGACGGCTAAAAGGTTTCAGCAAAGGAGGGGACAGCGGGATCAAAGGAGGGGAAGGGTAGAGTGACAGCAACCGCCGCTCACTGCATGACTTCAGCGCGTGACACGAGATGTTACACAGAAGCCAATGATATGGAAATGCGTGCCTGATCTTGGTTCCCGTTCAAAAAGACCACAGATCGAAATAAAACACCCCGAATCTTGTTTGTCAACTTTGTCAACTCACCCAGCGCAAACGTACCGCGCCGTCCCACATGTATTCTGCGTGGCGCGTTATTTTCTCGCGCGACGCACCTAAATTCCATTTCTCGAACGCAATGGCCATTCATAACTGCATCATTATTGTATGTGGACGCTGTTGAATTGCGTTTTCCGATCAAGTGCGCTAATAAATGTGTGCCGGACGCTCCATTGGACTCCGACGCGCCGGATAAATCAACAGACGTGCGTCCGGGCTGGGTCGTCGGGCGACATCAAAGGCGGTGCTCCGGTCCGACGGCGGCGCGGCCACGCGGGGATCAATGGGGGGACCCGGCAGCGCTCCGTGGAGGGCGGGGTCTTGGAGCCGGTGCCACCGCCGGATCGTTCAAGCAAGAGATTGACAGTTCCGGCAAATTAGCAAGCAGATCGGCGCATATCCAGGCAGGGGCACATTCTCCATTCAAATGAAACGAAGAAGTTTGCTGCCAACTTCACCCACAGCGCGTGACCATCTTGTCTGCCAAAATCAGGCCACACTGCTTCATGGCACGAGCCACGCTCAACCATATTCAACCTGTAGTTATCTCCCACCAGCATCTGTGATCGACGCAGTGCCACTCCAGCCCCGGCCGACAGGGGCGACATGGGCCGATAACACTCCCTCCCCTAACCCCCTCACACATTGCCCTCACACTCGACTGATCACTAACTGTGCCCCGGTGGTCGAGGACTCGCGTCATACCGCACCTGTTCAGGCAGGAAGATTGCATCGCGACATCGGGAGGCAGACAACCGCCGGCACAGCGAAAAGAGGGGTTCAACGAGGAAGCGTAACAATCAACGTACAATTTGTAGAGCGCTCAGACAAATTTATTGGGTACTACATATAAGAGCTCCTATAGACGAATCCGGATGGATGATTTTGCAATCTTCATCAACCAAAAAATATTCACCGCTTCTCCAATCGAAATACCGCTTTTACTAAGCGAAAGCAATTCATAACGAAAAAAAATAAAAACTAAACATAACGAAACAAGAACGAGACCAAAGAAAACACGTCTCCATTTCATGGGCACAGGTGTAATATGTGCTCACCGGGCCTAAAATCTTAAGTTTTCCTGTTATTTCTCTAAAAGATTAGTCAATTAAAAACAGCAAATTGTTTTAGTGCCCATAAAATATACACTAATGAGTAATGGTCATGAATGAGGCGCCACCCTCGCCGCGCCTCAGCTGTCGATACACAGGATATCAGTAGGCGGAGCGACCCTGTTTATACATTACAATTCGCAGAAATACTTCCACCTCGGACCAGAAATACTTCCACCTGGTCCATGTTATTGGGCGACAGTTTACAGAAGCATTGATCTAAAGGGCAGATGAACCGTCATGCAGGGGCCATATCATACGGAAAACGCTGGCGGGTGGCAGAGCACGCAGTGACACTCCGGTTGGCTGGAAGGGAACAGAAAACTACGACACTATAGGAAAGGACAGACGGCAGGACTACAAAAGCAGAACAGAAAACTACGGTGCTATTAGGAAAGACAGACGGCAGGACTACAAAAGCACAGCGAGAGAGTCCCCTTCAATCTCCGAAGATTGCAGGAGTGTTTGAGTTCCAGCGACGGCGCGCCTCTCTGCTGTGAGCGAGCGAAGCAGCTGTCACCAGCTACCCCAGTGTTCTGCAGTGATGATCCGCGCGCCTCACACGGTCCTGCTGGTGGCCGCCGCTGTGGCGTGCCTGTGTAAACCGTCCCCGAGTCTGTTCACCGGACCCCGGCCGATCACGTCCCAACCGGAGAGCGTCAACACCCGTCCGGTGACGGCGGACCTGGTGAAGATCAGGGAGGCGCTGGGCATCGCTCTGGTCAACGACATGTACCTGGATAGGCCGTATATATCACCGGTAAGCGAAATGAAAAGGCTCCTTTTCATATTTGTATTGTATGTACCCCTTATGTGGCCCTCATGATGGACATTGTGTATGTCAACGGTGGTTTCATTAGTCTGTTACCGAACCGAGGTGTTAACAAAGTAACAGCTGCCGATTACAATTTTCCAGCGACGTTTCATTTGGATTAAAAGGGGTAAGTACTAAGTACGCATGTGAACGATGACAACAATAAAAACACCCAGTCACAAACATCTTCACATCTCCTCCCAAAAGCATCAATGCCATGCTTCAAACGTCCTTTTCCGCAGGAGACAGCCCAGCCGTGCGGTAACCCAGACGGAGTCGGGAGACCGGCCTTCTCTCACGTGCACAGCATCTTCGAGGCCGGCCAGAAGGGGCCGCTGCTGGGCCGACCCGGCTTCTGGATCCGCCAGACCAACGCCACCATGGTGCTCTCCTTCCACGACGGCTGTCCACTGCAGGTGAGCGCTGCCTCAGTAAACAGATAGGCTGCGAGCGCTGCCTCAGAGACAGAGAGGCCGTGGGTGCTGTCGCAGAGGAGACGGAAAGGCGGTCAGAGCCGCCTCAGGGGAAACAGGCCGTGAGCGCTGCCGCAGAGACCGAAAGGCTGTGAGTGCCGCCACAGAGAAAAAGGCTGTGACTGTTGCCGCAGAGGAGGCAGAGAGGCAGTGATCGCCTCCTGAGAAACCAGAGAGGCAGCTGGCAGCGGAGATTCTGCATAGACTGACAGAGAACGATCAGGGCTAACTCTGTTATAAAAATGCTGCACTTTTTGCTGTTTCATTTCTCCATTTATTTGATTTTTCTGGACAGAGTATGCGCCGTGAACGCAAAAGAATAGCTTTAGAGACGTCCGTAAGCGCTGCCGAGCGGTTTGAAGTTGAGGTGATGACCAGTTCTTGAGACCGTATGTAAAAATGCTGCTAGAAGACCTTACTCTGGCTCGCCACCGCTACAAACAGCCGCCTTTGCCACTATTTTAAGCTCTACCGAATCCTCTCTGATGGCGAGCTGCACACGGAGATCGTCGGCAGTCCGCTGACCAGCCCGTCCTTCCGTCCGACGACGGTGCTCCGGTCGGGGGAGCTGGTGACGCTCGAGTCGCTCTGTGCTGACCGCGCCACACTCGTCTCCTTCGTCACAGTGCCAGGTAACGGGCGCACTCAGCTGTGTCGGGGTACAGTGTCACTGAGAACGGGATTTAGTGGCATGGATGCAGTTAATTCCATGCACTTGCACTTATCCATACCTATCTATATCTATATCTATATATATTACTATTTGAGGAGGGTGCGTCTGTCCGTTACCGAGGTCCCGACTTGGTGGTGCTTTGCGTGGACTGCAGGCCAGACCGTTGCACCTAGCCCGGTGAAATTTGCACAACTCATAGATCAAGGATGCGCGACGTGCCTTTGAGGGGTCTCAGCTCGATCGGGTCGATAGGGAGCGCGTGGTGCGTGCTCAAAAAGTGCAAATTCGCGTCATAGACTTTACATGTATAAATCGGCGTGCGAAATCGGGCGAAAATGGCTAATTTTGGCCGACACGGGTCCAGTTCCCGTGCAATATCTTGGTGACCAGGGATCCGACCGGCACGGGGAAAACAGCATCGTGTACAGAATTGAACGGGCTATTGAATGGTGTGCAATGCAGAGGATAGCACGCGCCACGTGCACCGGAGAGGGCACTTTTATTTGAAAAATTGAGGTTTTTGAGGGATTTTGGAATTAATTTTATTTTTAGGTGACCGTTAAATGGAGCGAGTTGAATCAACGCCTATTTGCAAGAGAAAGGTACCGCCTCTCATATAAAAATTATGAGAAGCTGATTGATCCAAATCAAGGTGGTGCAAATCACAGGAGAAAATGGTGTTTGTCAATTTTGTGCCACTTTATTAATCACACGGGGTTTGCTGCATAACCTGATACCTTTGGCAATTGAATATGGTACCATTGAATAGAGCATTCAATTCTGTCCAATATTCACTCTTCATTTTTGCATAATTAGCAACAGTATCCTTAAAAATGTAAATGTTCCAAACCATTACATTGTCATTTTTAGCGAAATTCATCGATGGCCCTCAAAAGACTTCACGCCAGTTTTCGAATCATTCTAAAGTAGAACGCATGATAATACGACACGGGCACCTCGATGCGATGTATCTTTTTGTTTTCTTACAAAATGCTTGGCCGTCAAAAAGCAATCGAACGAAATGGATATTTACCAACCAAATCGACACAGACCAACCCACGGGTCAAAAAATCCCCCCTTAGCGTTGCGGAGCACGCGGGTAACCCTAGTCCATACCTATAGTCAATCATTTTTTTATTTATTCTTTGAAGCTGAACCTGAGCACAGGCACTATTCATATGCGACGTCTAACCGCTGACCGTATTTATCCCCAGCGTGGAATCCCCGTCTGAGGGAGGAACTAGACCCGACCAAGATGGCTGCCGAGTATCCACAGCACGCTCAGCTGATCTCGCGACTGGCCAGTCCCGAGTTCAACGCTGACCAAGGTCCCCTGTTCTCGACATCGGACACAGTTGCGGCCCCCGAGGGTGCCGCAGAGGCCACAGGTGACGGTCAGTGAAACATAACGTCGCGCCGAATGAGTTGGTACCTGTGAAACGGCTGAAAAACAATGATTCTGCGCTGAAAGAGGTTTTTGTTTTTGTCACTGCCGGCTCGAGTTCACGATTTAAATGATGCGGTTTAAGTGTTAAGTGGACTTGTGTGCGGCGGTCACTTTGTGCCCTATATCTCCTACAAGCTAAGAGCTTTTGTATCTTATATCATCGTAAAGAGCCGTTTCATGTCACACCGTTGCTATCCGAATTACATTTGAATACCCCGCGACATATTGGCATTTTAGCCTACCAATGACGGGTACTCTTTCTTGTGATGCACCTAATGACAATAAATAAATCTACATCGTCGCCAGACGATCTGCTTATTAGTCGTGATCTGCAAACACTTCACAGATGACGCTAAGTAGCCATAAACACCCTGCCCAATACAACTGATTGCTTCAGTGCGGTTTAGGGCAGTGATCTTAGTAAAAACTACACTGGACACGCCTGTAGGTAATCATTTACTTAGCTTGTAACAGTTATCAAGATCAATAAATGTGCTCAGGCCATCAACAAGTCATAGTCCGACTGGCTATATCAGACTTCAGAAATATTCCTTGTTCTTAGTAGTTAGTACCCAATGAAATAGACAAACATCCACCATTGTTTGTTCGGTTTAGACCCTCAGCCGCGTTCCCACTGTTCCACAGTAAGTGGTCAGCTCAGACCGTCTGTCTGGACTGGACAGTGTCCACGGTCCGGTCCCGGGATGGATGGCCCGCGCTCCCCGACCAGCGGCTCTGTTTACCCTTATTGGCTATAAATCGGCGAGCGGTCGGCCACCGTTGTCAAATCAAATAGGTAATAAGTCTCTGCGGAGCGGCCGGCCACCGAGCGCCCGCTAACCGCCCGTGTGTGTTCCGCTTTGTTCCGTCCGCCGCACAGTCGCTTTTTTCGACGTCAATGGCGCAAACGTAATTGATAAAACGCGCGCCGTCCGACCGCAGTCACTGCGCCACACTCCGTCACGAGCGGCGTTTTGTGCGCGTGAGATTTATTCGCGCCCCTAATTCACCGCGAGCCGGCCCGACGCTGACACTCGAGCTTTTTTGACAAAAACGCCGAGCTATTTTAGCACGGTGTGCTCTCTTTTTTTAAAGCATTTCACGTATCATTTACGGCTACAGTTATTAAAAAGCCATATATTTTCATTAAGTGGGTCTTTTGGAGAAAACCCATGGAAGGCGAGGTGAAATGAGCTTCACACCACAGCTGCCTCTTGCCAACCAGAAATTGCGTTTTGTGCGAAAATTATTTATGCAATTTTGGAAGAACAGACCACTGGGTGATCGCAGATTTAGTGTCGTTACATGGCTGGCCACAAGAGGCTCTCAGCACTGATCAGCCTATTCAGATTCATAGGCACGCTCTCAGAACGGCGGCGGTACCCTGAGTGCGACAAAGGCCGAATATTCCATAATGACGCCTTTTTAGCATACGCGCCGCGGTCGTCGACAGGCAGCTGATAGTCCATGACAGCTGGCCGTTCACAGAACAGCACTCACTCAGGTGTGCGTGCTTTACCCGCAATACACGTTTTTTTTTTTTTGGCGTTAAAAAACGGGCTAGGGGGTTCCTCTCGGGTGGAGTGCAACAGAAACTGGCAGTAGGCATCCTTTCTATCAATTTATTTATTTATTTATTTATTTATTTACTTCGTAGTGGCCGTCCTCTATCTATAACCGGAGTCAAAGGGGCTATTCTTAGCACTGAGTCAATAAAAGATGGCGATGAAGTGTGCAAAAGAACATCATGCTATGACATAAAGAAATGCTTAAAATCACGATAAAAGCACACAACACAATGCACATACCTATACATATCACACTTCGTCCGCACCAGACGTCAGTCGACGTTTCAGCTGGCTTCTAAACTCGGTGACGGTCAGGTCAGTAAAGGCGGCGGGGAGAGCATTGTTCACTGTTCAGCTCTGCGGCACGGTACGTAAACTGCCGCTTTCCCGCCGCCGTGCCGCGCATGTCAGGGAGACTCAGCAATCAGGTCCTTCATTAGCGTCCCTGTTCCAGTAAGTGATAGCGCGAAATAAAAATCCTTCAAAATATGATAAAGTTCACGCATATTACATAAATATAGTGGGAAATTTGGTGAATCTTGGTGAATATCTTCTTATACGACGAACTAAATGCCCTATAAGAATACAAACTGCTAAAGAGATCACAGTAAAACAGTTGGGTACTGAACAAACAGTCCATTTGGCATCTGTCTTTAGAAACGATCTATTGCTAACCACTGAAGATCTGCCGGTCTCTAATATGCCTCAGCTGGCACCATCCGTGTCCGCGCGTTTGACGATCCTCCAATGAATAGACAAATGGGCTCAGCAGCAGCGGCCGGGAAGCCGCTCCTCCAAACGCCGCCGCCCGCCGCATCGCTTTATAATTCAAATATTAGCACACAATTAGCATTTACCCAGAGTCCAAACACAAAGCGATCCTTTCACGCCTCGCCCGGCAACCCTTTATGCGTCATTGATTGGCGGAAACAGTGGCCGGCCACGTGACCCGCTGTGAGCCGGCCGGACGGCGACACCTCGTGGTCACGTGACCGGCGCGCCCGGGCGCCTTTAATCACCCCCTGAGGGCGCGCGCCCCGGCGCCCCGCCCGGCGCCGCCTCAGGGAGTGCACTGTGTGCCCCGGCCGGGAGCGGAGGAGGCTGCGCGGCCCGGCGACACGGCACAGCGGGGCGGCACTGACAGCGGCGACTGCGGCGGCGGGAGGCCTGGGACCGGGTTCACACCGCTCTGATGGGAGCGAATGGGTTAGGGTGACCGCGTTCAGCTAGCGACACAAGCGTTTGTGTTCCGACAGTCCTATAGGAATAGGCAATAGGCATT